ATTATAGGTCTCTCCAAGTGACGACCGCAGAGTTTCTCATGGTCTCCTTATTTGTGACTATTCATTTGGAGTGGTGTGCTGGAAATCCACAGGTTCACAGTGGATTGGCATAGCGGGAGCAGTCACCACCTGTTGTGACACTCAAAGGGATAATGGCGGCCGGGCGGCAAGGCACTCCGACCGCATTGAACCTGAGGTGACGGTAGAACGGGGAATACTGAGAAATAATGCCTGACGGGCGGTTATCCCACCCCCTAACACATTCCTATTACACTTATATATCCGGCAAAGCTTTAAACTGTAATAACTTCTATATATAAACCTTAATTATAGGGCGGGATATAGCCCGCTAGGACACTGACCTGAGGTGACGGTAGAACGGGGAATACTGAGGGCATTGCCCCGCCGCTCCTCATCACGTAGGCCTACAGTTTCCAATCTTTAATTTTCACTTTTGTTTCTTATGGTTCTCACCTGAACACTTTTTGTTATATTGTCACTCATGCCTTATAAACACATATTTTAATCCTAAATTACACACTAAGGTAAGGTCTTGGTTTGCTAGTTCGCGGGTAAATTCATGGGGTTATAATATCACGTGGCACCCAAGGCGGGTACATGACGCGCCTTGAAACAAAGGCTGAATGTTCATGGCAGGGGTGTATCAACTTCACTTAAAACTGTAATGAGGGATCCTCCTCTCACACCTTGCACTATTTGAACACAGACATAAGATTCTCTGATCACTGTACCTGTCGTGGGTATATGTCACGTGAGGATACGAGGTGTATTAAGTCCATACCAACTCATACAAGATATTTCCTTTCAAGTATAGTTTCTGGGTCACTTCCAACACCTCACATAGTTCTGATACATTTATCCTTTTTCCAGATAATTGTTCTCATGTATTTTCATATGATATCTGTGGAAGTTATGTTCGCTACACGCTCACAGACGTAAATAGTATGACCTTCAAACCCTGATCCACACTTAGTCCTACAGTACACTAGTCCGGCTCAACTGGACTTTAACATTCATCTTATGGATACCCTGAGTTCTCCTTAATGCTATGAATACATACAATTAATATGATATAACTGTACCTGGGTACAATACAACACATGGTCTATTAACATTGAGTAGGTGAGTTATCCTTTATCAATGTTTCCCGTTTTCTGAGGTTCTACAAGCGCGGTGGATTTGTATGTTATGTAGCGTAATATGAATTAAATGGGGTTTTTAGGAATGACAATGATGTGCGCAGTACAAGGTTAGACACCCTAGAGCAGCTCTGCTACTCTAAGCAGACAGTCGCTCCTCTTCCGACCCCAGCACACCCGTCTTGCCTCAGACGCCGACCCCGGCCCAGCAGTTACCCCTGCCGCCCCTGACGCGGCCCCTGTTCCTGATTGCGGACCCACACACCCCTCTTTTCTCCCTCAGGTACTCTCTGCTAATGTCCTGCACCCTGCTGCTGTCGTGGACCCAGCTGCTGTCACGAGCCCTCATCCGCTTCTGCTGACGCAGCCCCTGCTCCTGACCCAGGCCCACACACCCCAGCAGGCGCATCTGACGACTCTGTACCTGCCGTGAGGGAAGCACAACATTCATCGCCTCCACACACCCTTTTTCTCCCTCTCTTCTCCCACAGATATTGTGTATCTAGACAGTTGTATCCAGCGACCGGCTCATCCACGCCATCGCCGTTGTCTCACATGAGGCATGCACCGCCCGTTCTGCCTCACATGTGCTATGCAACCCTGCAGACAACAAGTCTCCTACACCGCCTGGAGGGAAGGGGGAGTATTGTAGTGGATTTCTCCCCTACAAACGCTGTTTGTCGCTGAGTAGCCGACCCCACCAATTCTCCAGTGTATGCCTCGTGGTCTAGATCAACCAGCGCCGCCATACATCACGGAGCGGGGGTCAACTACTAAGCCACGCCTACCCCCCGCTATTTAAGACCTGACCTCGTGGTGACCTGCTCTTTCTACCTACACCAACCAACTAGCAACACCACCTCCTCCTCCGCCGCTGCCTGGCGGCCCTCGCTCCTCCTCCGCCTGCCTGGCGGTCCTCGCTCCCGCCGGCGAGCATGGCGACCCACAAGCTGTCCTCCTGTGAGCATCCTCACCACCCAGCTCTCTCTACATCACGCTTGTAACCATGCTGCCTTCCCAGCACCAAGCTGCACTGTACATCCAATACAACATGTATAAAGAGAGCACATTGTGAGTTTCCTTTCTCCAACCCATCCTGAGTGTGAACCAAACATCTCATACCCCACAAAACAATGTTATCAGGATCACCACGCAGAAGCCTCAGGGCTATCATGAAGTTGACTTCAATTATTCTATCTTTAACACTCGGTATACCTAGTTCTTTCCTCATATTAAGTACTTTAGGGGTCCAACGAATTACTCAAAAGTACCCAAATGTACCCATAAGTTCCCAAAAGTATATTTCTATCAGGGTAAAATCTTAACGAATATCTGTTATACATACACAAAACATGTCTCATAATATTTTTAGTGTAATTTTGTAAAAATAATTTGTAAGATGAAATAATAAACCGAAAAACTTTCAGTATTGGCGAATGCTAAATTCCAACGAGTTCGTGAACAAGGAAGATAACTCAGATCCATCGTGTTGCACTTCGCTCACCTAATCTAAAGAAAAGTAAATCCTACGGCTATGTTAAATACCCCAAAGTAACAGAAACATCGGTAATTATATCTCCATTTTGGATAGGTGTGTAGTGGAATTCTCCCCTACAAACGCTGTTTGTCGCTGCCTAGCCGACCCCACCAATTCCACAGTGTATGCCTCGTGGTCTAGGTCAACCAGCGCCGCCATACACCACGGAGCGGGGGTCAACTGCTAAGCCACGCCTACCCCCGCTATTTAAGACCTGACCTCGTGGTGATCTCGCTCTCTTACTACCTACAGCCGCAGCCAGCAACACCTCCTCCGCCTGCCTGGCGGCCCTCGCTCCTCGGCCTGCCTGGCGGTCCTCTCTCCCGCTGGCGAGCATGGCGACCCACAAGCTGTCCTTCTCTGAGCGTCCTCACCAACCAGCTCTCTCTACATCACGCTTGTAACCATGCTGCCTTCCCAGCACCAAGCTGCATTGTACATCCAATACAACATGTATATAGAGAGCACATTGTGAGTTTCCTTTCTCCATCCCATCCTGAGTGTGAACCAAACATCTTGAACCCCACAAATGGTGACCCCGGAGTGACCACTCACACAGGATGGAGGAGAAACTGATCACCCTCCCAGTCTTCAAGTAACATGGAAGACTGGCTTATCCACCCAGAAGCAGCTATCATCGGCTCTACAGCTACTGTCTCTACACCGCAGGTTAGACACCCTAGAGCAGCTCTGCTACTCTAAGCAGACACCAGCTCCTCTTCCTGCCCCAAGCACCACGTCCTACCGATCCCAGCACACCCGTCCTGCCTCAGACGCCGACCCCGGCCCAGCAGTAACCCCTGCCGCCCCTGATGCGGCCTCTGTTCCTGAGTGCGGACCCACACACCCCTTTTTTCTCCCTCAGGTACTCCCTGCTAATGTCCTGCACCCTGCTGCTGTCGTGGACCCAGCTGCTGTCACGAGCCCTCATCCGCTGCTGCTGACACAGCCCCTGCTCCTGACCCAGGTCCACACACCCCAGCAGGCGCATCTGTCGACTCTGTACCTGCCGTGAGGGAAGCACAACATTCATCGCCTCCACACACCCTTATTCTCCCTCTCTACTCCCACAGATATTGTGTATCTAGACAGTTGTATCCAGCGACCGGCTCATCACGCCATCGCCGTTGTCTCACATGAGGCACGCACCGCCCGTTCTGCCTCGCATGTGTTAAGCAACTCTGCAGACAACAAGTCTCCTACACCGCCTGGAGGGAAGGGGGAGTACTGTAGTGGAATTCTCCCCTACAAACGCTGTTTGTCGCTGCCTAGCCGACACCACAAATTCCCCAGTGTATGCCTCGTGGTCTAGGTCAACCAGCGCCGCCATACACCACGGAGCGGGGGTCAACTGCTAAGCCACGCCTACCCCCGCTATTTAAGACCTGACCTCGTGGTGATCTCCTCTTTCTACCTACACCAACCAGCCAGCAACACCGTCGCCTGCCTGGCGGCCCTCGCTCCTCCGCCTGCCTGGCGGTGCTCTCTCCCGCTGGCGAGCATGGCGACCCACAAGCTGTCCTTCTCTGAGCGTCCTCACCAACCAGCTCTCTCTACATCACGCTTGTAACCATGCTGCCTTCCCAGCACCAAGCTGCATTGTACATCCAATACAACATGTATATAGAGAGCACATTGTGAGTTTCCTTTCTCCATTCCATCCTGAGTGTGAACACCAAACAATCTCATACCCCACAGGTGACTCTTTGGAATTTAGTGTTTTTCGCTGTTTATTATTTCATTATTTTGACTACATTTCAATGAAAACATTATTAATCACGTTTTATTGATGTAAAACATACATTCGTTAAGACTTTACCCTGTTTTAATAAACTTTTGGGTACATTTGGGTACTTTTGGGTAATTCATTGGACCGGTACTTTAGTGCTCATGGGACATCCTAGGATAATGTTGCTGAGCATGGGAGACCTTTCTGGAATTAACGCCCTTGACAATTATATGACGTTACCTCGAGATACTTGCATCGTACAGCGCACAAGCAAAATATATACATCCATCGTAGAATAATACTGATAAGACAAGAAGTGTCCAAATATGGTTGCGTGGTGAGCAGCAGGGTGGTGAAAGTGGCCATTATAGAAAACCTCGCTCGAGCTCTCCCATTTTCTTTTAAACGTTTCGTGAATCGGAAGTCGGACCCAGGCTGTATCCGATTTACTGAGTGAGATAAAATTGTACTATTAATCATATTTTGGAAAGGTCATATGCTAAATAAAGGGGACATAATAATTGAATTATATATTTTTTATGTCGCTATTATAGAATGAAATAACTATGAAAGATATATTTGAGATAAAAAAGATATTATGATTAGGGTGGAGAAGAATCGGATTTAGTTCCGTATATGGTTATAGTGGGCTGGGTGGTGGCGTCTGCTGAGGTGTGTTAACTGCCGGTCCTGAGAAAATGTCGTATAATAACCGTAAGTTGAGCTATTATGGATAATTATACGTGAGTTTGTAATGTAAGTTTGGCGCTGATTGTACTGTAAAGAGTAATTAATACGGTGTAAATAAGTTTTCCGAGAAAAAGTACATTAGAGTGGGCGGTGTCTTGAGTGCCAGTACCTGTGGCTGTTGACAGGAGCAGTAAACCATGCATGGCTCACTCACACTCATATTTTCTCTGTACACATACATCATAAACATTTTAGTATAAGCGACCCAGCTCATATTATAAGAAAATTATTTATCGTTTTGTATGCTGATACTCGTTAACATTAGTGATTGAGGTGTGGAGAGGTGAGTCATCAGAGGGAGGACAGCCTGATAATTAACAACGGTTAACCAGAATGACTTGTCTCATAATATTATCAAAGCCGGTATTATTATACTTTCGCTATCCAATTCCTACGTAATCCCGGTGTTCTCCCAACGTCTGTAGAATGCCCGTACTGTAAATTGCCTTGTAAATTTAGGAAGAACAAGCATCAGAGGTTGACCCTGAACCAATCCTTGGTCCTTCCACTTCTAACTAAGGTATTGTACTTTCGGACGTGGTGCGCCCCAAAGTTTAAAACTACTGAAACATTTAGATCTCCTTATTTTGAGTCTTTTGAACCCCATTTATATTAGTTAGAGATGAATGGGATAGGTTAGGTTAGTTTAGTTTAGTTTAAGCTAAGCCTACTGGGGGTGGAGCCTCCGGCTAGGGGTTAGGTTAGACGACTCGTTCTTGTGTTCTCCCCAACCCAAAACCCGGATTTCCCAGGCTCTCCTCCATTATCGATGGAGACAAAAGAGCAATTTCCGCCCAAAATGAAGGTCAGATTCGTTTAAAACACACCAAAATACACTGGAAAAACACATTGGTCAACCCATATAGGGACTCGTGGTTTTTGATGAGTTTTGAACGAATCACTCGTACTTTAGATACAACCCCCCCCCCCCAACAATCTGGGAGTTTTGAGTGGAGGAAATCACTAGGCCAAAATTCTTCAAAAGTCATCGGAAAAAAAACATATTCCAAATACAGTACCGAAAAAAATCACCAAAAACCAACCAAACCCTACCTAATCTAGTCCAATCTAACCTAACCCAACCTAATCTAATTCAATCTGATTTAATCTAACCTAACCTAATCCAATCTAATCAGACGATAAGTACACTGATTTTTGCAGTTCGGACAACTCATGTTGTTTGGTAATACACTCTGTTTTCTAAAAAATGTAATGGCCTCAGTATTTTTCTGATGGAACTCGGCAATAGACATAAAATAATTGCGTTGACAATGTCCTTCCACCTGTTCAGTCATATCTGGTACAAATTCAAAATTTCCCTCTCAACGCATCTACACATTGCTCCTAAGACAAAGAGCTCTTATCCAATAATACTGTAAGTCTCCCCTCGCCCCCAATAATAACGTTACCCTCATCCTCTACTTCCACTAGCCATTAAGAACTCCCACACCACCCTCGCACATGCCCTGTAGACAAAGAAGAAGCGAACAAATGAACACGGGAGCAGGAACTGAGGGGGGGTAAGAGCTTCTCCGCTCGACGTAAACAAAGAATGGAGCAACTTGTGACATACAAAAGATGATAATGTAAAAATAACGTCTCGGTTATCCTTAATTTCTGAGGAAAATGTCATCGAAGAAAAGTGACAGAATTGTCTAAACATTCAGAAAAACCTATTTCTAACACCGAGGGATAGAACGTGACACCAATATAAAAAGGCCAGAAAGGTTAAATTTGGTTTTAATTGCCCCCCCCCCAAAAAAGTTAAGGAAGACTGATTGTGTGGAGAATAGACGTACGAGGTCTGTCCAAAAAGAAACCACACTTAAAAAAAAAAAAAAAAATTTGCTTTACTTACAACTTAATCAGACTTGTCTCCTTCAAAGTGCTCCCCTCCACTGTTGATACACCGCTCCCAACGTTTTTTTCCAGTTCTGGAATGCGTTTTGAGGGATGGTGCGCAGGTCTCGTAGCGTATTTTCTTCTATTTCTTCTATCGTCTGAAATCGGTGACCTTTCAGGGTGGATTTCAGCTTTTGGAGAAAAAAAAGTCCGCAGGGGCCAAATCCGGAGAGTAGGGCGGCTGGGGGACGATAGTCGTCTCGTGCTTCCCCAAAAAGTCACGGATAAGGAGCGACGCGTGAGCAAGTGCATTGTAATGGTACAGCATCCAGGTCTTGTTTGTCCACGCCTCAGGCCTCTTCCTTCGCACTGCCTCCCTCAAACGCTTCAGGACCTCCAAGTAAAACTCTTTATTGACTGTGTGACCACGTGGAACAAACTCATGATGAACGACGCCCTTCCAATCAAATAAGACGATCAACATCACCTCCACATTTGAGCGACTCTGACGTCTAGATTTGGGATCATCTTCGGTGGATGTTCTTCCCCTTTTGAAACGCTGGTACCACATGTGACATTGCGTATGGCTCAAACAATCCTCCCCATAAGCCTGTTGCAACATTTGAAAAGTCTCCTTAAAAGTTTTTCCCAATTTGAAACAGAATTTCACACAAACATGTTGCTTTTCAAGATCCTTCATTGTTCAACTTGCAACAAATCGCCAAGTGCACTAAACACACATTCACTCTAGCGCATGTAGCTCGATGACTAATTGACGTGGTGTGATGCGGCTAGTGTTAGACTAAAGGTCAAGGTCACCGCTACACAGCGCTCCCATCGCGAGCACCCTGCGCTGGCTCGTTGGCACGCTATTTAAGAAGTTCGGTTTCTTTTTGGACAGACCTCGTACATTAATGTATTATATACTGTACTTTATTGGTTATGGTTAATTTATGATAGTAGCCAGGTTTCGATTTTTCCATAAAAATTAAGTTCTTCCAGTGGTTCTTGTGATTCGAACAAATCTGACCTGCGTTTCTGGTGCTAACCGCCCTAACCTAACCGAAACCTGGGTACTATCCTAAATTGACCATGGTTATTTACATTGGTAATAGGTAATAGTGAAGGAGATGGTTAGCACCAGAAGTTTATAGAATTGGTCAATTTTTTCCACAGGTGTTGTTTGGATGATAGTAAGTACTGTAATAAAAATTGTAAAAACTTTTGGTAATGCATGAGAACACCACTACCATCAGAAGGAATTGTTCAATTTTTTCCTTTTTTCCACTGATGTTATTGTACAGTACTAAGTATTTTAAGAGGCAATATCTAGAACCTGACCTAACCAACCATAGAAACCTACCTAATGTCCTAGCTGGGAGGGGGACCACCTGCCATATTAAACAAAAAGTACTTCTTTTGATATCTGGTACTAATGAAAGCAACTTTGTTGAAGCATCATGGTGTAATTTATGTTTTTATTGTCATGAGAGTATGTTCAGATTTGAGCGAGTCTGGTGTAAATAAACAGACTTGTGGTGACTTGACTGATTTTTCGGAGGAATATTTACAGTAAATAATTAATTTCTTTACTTACAAAGCATGTAGAGACATTATTTTAGTGTCATGTGATTTACCCCCACAGTCTCCCTCATCCGCCATATATATATATATATAATATATATATATATATATATATATATATATATATATATATATATATATATATATATATATATATATATATATATATATATATATATATATATATATATATATATATTGTATAATTAAAATAAAAAGCTGTCACCTCTTAAAATAATTACTACAGTATAATGATAAACAATCGGTGGAAAAAACTAAATGAAATCAAACTCCATCTGGTGGTAGCGGTTTCCTCATAAAGTATCCAACTTTTTCTTGTAATTTTAAGTTTTGTCGTAGTGGATATACGTACGGCAGCCATATTGAGTAGAGTGATGTGACGGCACCGAGTGTGAGCTCTTTCAAGACCAGACTTGACCAACACTGGTGCAGGTGCAGATACATTCAGGAGCCAGCATTAGCCAACAGTGTGTAACAGAGACTTTACTGAGCACCCCAGCGTCTAATGAGTAGAGTTCAGTGGCAAATAGGATAAAAGTAAAAGTGTTGTTAATGGTTAGTTTTATAAGGTAAGTTAAGGTAGGTTAGTTTAGGTCAGGTTAGGTTAGTCAGAAAGAATGCTATCTTAGTACCTTAGGTGGAGTTTGGTACAGTATTATACCATGTATCTGTGCTTTGTGTTATGTCATTCTTGTGCTGTGTTAGGTACTCTGTTGTTGATGCGTCTGGGCCTTTTCTCAAGTTGTATCAGTAATCCTCTTAGGTATCGCAGCTTTGTGAAGGTTTTGATGATTGGTGTGACCGCCATGGAATTTTTCCTGCAGGCTCACAGAATATGCGATGCTGAATACCTGAGTATGAGCTGGCATACATCTTCAAAACCCCTCAGAAAAGTCTTCCCTCTCCAGTGTCACAGAAGTCTGGCACCACCCCTGTTTTTGTCAACTTATTATCCAGCATGGCAGGTAGTCCAAATGATGACTATGCAGGATATAAATGACAAATAACATTAAACTATTCCCAATTGTTGACCAACGAATATGTGAAATGGTGTATAAAGGGGAGATGAAAAAAGGGCCCTGTGTATTAGTGTTGAAGTGTAATTGTGTATTGTGTGGAACTGTGCATGTGAGTTAGGGATCAGTAGTGCAATTACTGTATTGGTATGTGATTGAGTGTTTTTAAGGGATCAGTCTTGTATAATTGTGTGTGATTGAGTGTTTCTAAGGGATCAATCCTGTATAATTGTGTGTGATTGAGTGTTTCTAAGGGATCAATCCTGAATAATTGTGTGTGATTGAGTGTTTTTAAGGGATCAATCCTGTATAATTGTGTGTGATTGAGTGTTTCTAAGGGATCAATCCTGTATAATTGTGTGTGATTGAGTGTTTCTAAGGGATCAATCCTGTATAATTGTGTGTGATTGAGTGTTTCTAAGGGATCAATCTTGTAATTATGTTTGTGAATTGAGTGTTCTTGAGGGACCAGTGAAGTTATTATAAACTAAAGATACATTACTCCTTTGCAGTTTCCATCTGGGCATCATTGCCGCGCACTCAGAGAGGACAGCCCATTGTGTTGGGAGTGGATCCTAAGGGGAAGAAACTCCTCTATGGCAATGGAAATTCTGTCATTATTCGTGACCTAGAGGTGGGCATTCACTTTTCTCCTCTTGTGACCTACATTACTGTTTGGTGTGTGCTGCATATGCTAAAATTCTTGTCAGTAATAATATTTTTCAAATTCCATGACTTTTAACCCTTAAGCCCCGGGTTAGGGAGCCGCAGGGGTAAATCGAGAAAAATCAACTTTTCCAAAACTAATTTTCAACTTTTTTAAATGATAAAAAATAAGTAAGAAAACTATTTATTGACCCTCTAGAAACTTCCCTGGCAGCACAAAGGGAGGGAAATAAGGGGACAGCTTGTTAATGGCAAGCGCTCGTGGTCAACTACGCACTTAGCAGCTATTTTTAGCTTGCCTTTGTGTCTGGGATTGCCAGTACAGTAATGTATATATTTACTGATCGTAATACTGTACTTATTTCCTATAAATAATTCATTTAGAATTTACAGTATTTTATTTTCATTATTTTTCATAAAAAAACTGCTTGGCAACACACGCAGTCTGTCGCCAGGCTGTCTGGCTGTTTTTGTGTTTGGTAGAGCAAGTAATGCTTAGAAATAATTACTGTATTGGAATAATAATTCCACAAATAAATACATTTGCAGTATAACATAATCATGGCATTAGTTTCCGGTAATACTACACTACAATACAACTACACTACTTTTAGCAATATTACTTTGATACAACATGATAAAATGGACACAATGAAAATGAAGCAAACAAAAGTAGGTACTTACATTCAGGAAGCTTCCCTGTGGCCGAACATATGGCGTGACAGGCAAATAGTCACACTGGAACCCGCTCTGGGCATTTAAACAGTGGCGGGAAAAGGCACGCACTCTGGAATGTCACCTGGGGCCCATCGGTTCTGATTTCTGGAACGTCACCCGGGACTACACTACTTGTGCAGTGGTCGCTTGAATAACGAACACAATTGGTTCCACAGAGTTGGGTTGTTAACTGAATCTATTATTTCAATGGGATTTTGGGTAATTGGTTCCAACTCACAGAAAAAGTATACTGTACTTACATACTAAGTACAGTATGTACTGTATACCGGTAATAGAATTAACAAAACATTGAATATATACTAAGTACAGTGCTGTACTGTACAGTATACTGTACAATAATAAATAAAAAACAATAGAATACTATATTTTAACTTACTTTAAGGTGTGTGTCGTATTCCCGGCAGCTTTATTTACATATCAAACAGCTGATTGTAGAGGCAGACGATGATGACATGCCATATTCTTTACAGAGTACATTGGTTCTAATGCCTTCTTCATGTTTCATAATAATTTCTGCACTGTATATTATCAATATGTAAACTAAATTTCAGAATGACCAATAATTTTAATGTGAAAATGCAAAAATATTCAAGAGACCAACAAACTCACTGTTCACTCCACTGTAAACAAAGTTAAACTGAGAAGCGTTGGTGGGTGATTCGATCAGCTGATTGGCACACAAAAACTGTTCCCTGTACTGTATATATTATCAATATCTTAACTAAATTTTAGAATGACCAATAATTTTAATATAAAATTGCAAAAATATTCAAGAGCACAACTTTCTTGATATTTACTCCACTGGAAATGAATGTAAACATGGAACCAATTACAGGTTGTACCTCTCTAGTCCGGCATTCTGTGGTCCGGAACGATTTTAGTTTGTCCAATAGGGAGATAGGCAGCTTTTTTTTTTTTTTTTTTTTTAAATCTGTATTATTAATACAGGAGTACAGTTGGTCCTCACATTACGCTGGTTAATGTAACCCGGAGGGTCCCGCGGAAAGTGAGGAACGCGTAAAGTGAACAACATAACATATGGGATTAATTGAAATGGAGTCCAGGCCGATCCCCAAACTCCACTTTTTGACGACACACAACTATGTTGTAGTAAAAATATTATCTTAACTTTATGATGGCATGCACACACAATTAATAATTAAGAGAAATATCAATAATATTAGGTTTTTTAACACTTACATTAGTAGAAAAGATGGCTGGGCACACGGGGATGGGCGGTTGGTTCCGAGGCAGAGGGCAGATTATTGGCCCTCACCTGTATCACTTGTATCACTATCCACCACAGAGGCTTGCAGGGCCTCTTTGTCAAACCCCCCAAAGTTCATATAAGTCCATATCCTCACTATAATTATCACTATCACTGACTTGGGCCGGCTGTAGTGGGTGGCGGGTGAAGAACTGGTAATGTTTTGATGACTGGGCGACCTTGTGCGCACCATTTTCGCGCCTCTTACACAACATGGCGGATGGCGGGAGGTTTGGATCCAAAAATGGCGCGGCTTGCCAGCCGCTCTCCGCGTAATGGGGTTCACGACCGCGGAATGTGAAAATGTTAGGTTCTGGCAAGGCACCGCGTTAACGGTGAAACGCGGAATGCGGGACCGCTTAATGTGAGGACCAACTGTATTAAATTTTTGCCCCTCAGGCCCCAATGTGGGTCAGTGACCCCGGGTGGGCTAATCCCCATAAAAAAACAACAAAGCCGCGGGAAATTAAGGTTTGTTTACATCCGGCAGTTCTCTCTCTCTGCTTCTGTCTCTGTCTCTGCTCCTCTCTCTCTATCTCTCTCTCTCTCTCTCTCTCTGTCTCTCTGTCTCTCTCTCTCTCTGTCTCTCTCTCTCTGTCTCTCTCTCTCTCTCTCTCTCTCTCTCTGCTTGTCTATACAGAGTACAACATTTAACCCTTCAATATATATGAGCAATAAATAAGTGTTGCTTTCATATTATGTAGAGTAATGACGATATGTTTTTACATGTGCGCACATGTGCACTTACATACGCGCAGTCTCACTTTTTTTTACCATTAATGGTTAGCTACTTATATTGTTCCATTTATTAACATTAAATAACATTACAGGTACTTCAAACAACCATATTAATTTTTTTACATTAATTTTACTACAGCTACAATCAGTGTCTTATTTTCTTCAGTTTTATATGTAGAACCAATCAGTCACTGGTTTTGTAAGCTTTAACATAAACAATGCCGGCAGCCGCCTCGTCTCATCGTGTGTTCTCATATTCCACGTATTATTAATAAATTGTATTGTTAATTTTGCACACACAAACATTAATTCAATAAAAACAAATTCAGAAACATTAATTAAAATATATATGAACAGTAAATAAGTGTTGCTTTCATATTCTTATGTAAAGTAATGACGATATGTTTTCACGTGTGCGCACTTACCCGATCCCTCTTTTTTCTTTACCATTATCGTTAGCTACTTCTATTGTTCCATTTATTAACATTAAATAACATTACTTAAAACAACCATATTAATTTTACTACAGCTACAACCAAGATCTTATTTTCTTTAGTTTTATATGTAGAACCAGTCAGTCACTGGTTTTGTAATCAACGAAAACAATGCTGTCTCATTTCCTCGTGTGTTTTTAATATTCTACATATTATTAATGAATTGTATTGCTCATTTTGCACACAAACATTAATTCAATAAAAAAGACATTCAGTAATAAACAATAATGAATCTTTTGTACATAAGAGAAATGACGCTGTTTACACGATTATGCACATTGTCTGCACGTTGGCGGGCCGTTCAAACCCGTCGAAATTCAAGTTTCCGCCGTCAAAATTTTTATTTATTTTTTTTGTGCGTTCCAATAAAATACGTTGAATTAAAAACTCGCGAAATTTGAGAAGCTACTATACGACATTTAACCCTTCAATATGTCTTCAAAGAGACCATGAAGCAGAGAAAGTGATGCTAGTGCTTCCAAGCATAAGCACAAGTCACTATCTATCCAGGAAAAGGGTGAATTTCCATGGTCCGGCACCGGTCAGGTCCCGAGGTTGCCAGACTAGAGAGGTACAACCTGTACTGTATTGGCGGACTAGCCGATCAACTGATGCGCACAACAAAGCGTGTTTCTTGTAAGGCTGTCGTTAATCGAGTTTTGTTCATTAATGGAATCGAAAATCCTTTTGGGAGCTCATTCGTTAACAGAAATTTTGTTAATTGGACCGTTCGTTAATCGAGGGACCACTGTACATTGAATTTGTCAAATTATGATAGAAGCTCCGAGTGTAAAGAGACTGTGATATCGTGGCAGGTGTTTAGAAAGTGTGGCCTTTCACCCTCATCATTCCTTGAACCTGTCCATGTGAGATTGTTGAAGCTGTTCATATGCAATGGGGGTGGAGGCTATATTTTGTTTTGGTGTACGCTGTCAAACTTTTTATAAAAGACAACTTTTCAAAATAGTTAGATGACTGTTAATTGGATTGTTGTACAATAAAATCACTGTTAGCCGGAATCCCTCAAACCTGGAACTCTCCGATTGCCAGAGTTGAAATTTTCTCGGAAAATTGTTCCCAAAGCCGGAATTTTCCGGAAAATTGCGGCTTCAGGTACGATTTTTTCGGAAAATTCCGGGGATGGGTGATTTTTTTTTCGGGTTTGAGAGATGAAAATTAGGTGCATTTTCTGGAATTTCCAAGAAAATTCCGTTATCCGGAAAATTCCAGGGATGGGAGATTTTTTCCGGGTTCGAGAGATTAATGTAATGGGCAATTTCTGGAACTTCCGAGAACATTTTTCCGTTACCCGGGGATGAGGGATTTTTTCCGGCTTTGAGAGTCATCTCTTTAACCGGATATTACTCATTCCCGGAAGTGCTCTGTACTAATTGTTCCGGCTAACGGAGATAACACTGTATACCGGTACTATGTTTTAATGAACCGAGATTACTTTGGAATTGCTTCAAACAGTTGAATTATGATGCCATACCCGGGTTTCTTTACGCCATTTGCCTCTGTCTACGCAGCAATAATTGGGGACCTGGATGTTAGCTGAAAGTATATGAATCAAGTGTAAAGTGTCCCTGGAAGGTGGGCAACAGATAGAAAAATCAATGAAGGTGGGAGGAAGATTTTCAGTGATATTATTCTATAACAGACAACAGTACTGTACTGTACATACAATACTCAAAATTTAATTTTAATTGCGAGTGAGTCATTGGTGATGGT